TTGAGTAAATACCCCTTATATAAGAAGTGGATTGTAGAGTCCTAAGCTCACTATACTTAGAGTTCTACTACAATAACTATTACTACTACAATAATACTGCAATTATAAATAATCTAATACTAGTCAACTTCACCTAGTACAAGAAGTAGCAGCCTAGTCAATATAAGTAATAGCCTAATCCTAGTGTGACTCTAACTCCAATTGTACACTGATTGAACCATGTTGTTCAACCTGTTCCATATCTTTAGTTTCCTTTATCGTCAATAGTTTTGACTCGCTCACCAATAACGACTCTTTAATTTTCACTAGCTTCACCAAAGGAACAAGCTATGACACAACCTCTTAATACAATGTCTCACTAAACAATTTTTTTTCCTATTCTCTCTTTTGACTACACAGTAAATCGACAATGAATTACAATGCTTATGAAGAGTAGAATAAAGAAACTTGAGAGTGGTTGAGACGAAAATATGTATGAATGCGTGATGAATCAATTCAATACTTCTTAAAATAGTGGTTCATCATGCTCCAAGGAATCTTCTTGTTTGCTTTATTTGTCTTGATATAGTGAATCTTCGATTTGAAGTAATATCTTCATTATTTGATGAATTCTTTCCTCAATTGATTGCACAAAATATTCGCTTCAATGATTTTGCTGGCATTCCTTTCTTGATTCCTTATGTTAAGCTAATAGAGATGATGACAATAATTTGAACTCCCTGGAGTTTTATTTTTTCTTGATTTGAATAATCTTCTTGAAATTTAAGTTTTATCACTCTGAATATGAAATCTTTTGTGAACTTGAAACTTCAGACATATCTTGGTACTACATAATTATTTGATCTTCCTTAAGTAACAGATTGATCTTGATCTTTTCCTTTTGTAGAATATTTCCTTCAATAGGATCCTAGTAAATATTATTTCCATGATTTTTGTATCTTGATTTGGGCAAGTTATTTTCTTCCATATGTATCTTCTCTTGAAATTCCATCTCATAATATCTTCCTTTCTATATTTGTTTAGATCTTCACCAAATTCTTCTTCATTAAATAATTTTGCACCAAAATTTTTTTTTACAACAAGTAAATGTTCTTTTATTAAATTAAGTCAATTTGGTATCATCAAAATTAATATGTGAAACCTCAGACCTAACACTTTCTCATATATAATCAGATTACACTTGCTCCCCCCCCCCCCCCAACCCAA